GTCATTTGCAGGATGATCAGCTCTCCCCTAAGCAATACAGGTCATAGAATCATAGAATGACTTGAGTGAGAAGGGGCCTTAAAAGTCATCCGCTTCCAACCAGTTAAAGAGTAATTCATTGCACCTCTCATGTTTAAACAGATGCCACTGCAGTTCTGCTGCTTTTACACAAATCTTTCAAGCTTTTGTGACCTCATAGGCATGGAGCAAGAGCATTATCAAAGCTTCAGTTAGAGACACTAATAACAACTCTAACAACAATTCAGTCCTGCTCTGCTTTTTTATATGAAAAGTTGATAGTATTAAGCTATTTTGAACGTTAATTACAATCATTTAAGGTTCACCATACTTTAATGGTGCTTTAACAAAATATCAAATCTCAATGAGCCATTTCTTCCCCAAAACCTCTTGCATGGTCCACGCCCAATGTCTCCTTTGTTTTAGAAGTGCAGATGGCATTGACAGGAGACCTCTCTGAAGTACAGCAGCCGTGAGCCTTGTGGGCATTTTCTCCACTGATCTCATGGGCCAGAGGACAACTACGCCCTTTATGTTTTGCAGTATCTGGGAACGGATAGCTGAATAGAACGTATTTCTTTACATTCAGTATTACAGAATTCAGATCACCTCTGCCCCCTTGTGATGTGAAGCCGATGTCCAGCCCATCGCAAACAATGGCAAGGAGATGGAAGCTGGGTTTCTCTTTCCTTTATTGACCCTAAATCAACTGAAAAATAAGGAGAAGAGGGAGAAAGAAGCCTTCTGTTCAAAATTCACATCTAATTTCCAGCAGTTCGACAAAGCTGTCCATCTATTTTATAAGAATTTCCCATTTTTCTTGTTATTAAAGAGCACAAACGTGATAATTTAAATTACTCCTTGCTTTCATTTTCACTGACAAAAAAAAAAATAGTAGGGGGAAGGCACTTGTTTCAATAAAAGAGCCTCTGAAATAGAAAAATTTACACCTTTTATGCTGGAATAGAGCAGGAAATCTGTGCAAAGAAAAAGGTTCCGCAAATCTGCTATAATTGCACAGAAGAGAAACTACCAACAGCAGACACTACTTAAGGAGTCATTTAAGGAACTCCTGTCCACCTAAATGCAGTGCATTTCCCTCAGGAAACAGAAAAGAGGTTTTACTGCGCTCTGCTTTTGCTCCTTTCAGTAGCTTCGGAAAATTATGTATGCATGGATATTTTCAGTTAAAAATTATAAAATATGATTAAACTATTACTTAAAACTCAAATTCAGTGTAATCGGCCCATCTGTTAGCAATGGTTATAAAATTATGTTGAAGATCAGAAATCTGATGCAGTGTCAGTATGTCATAGCATAATTAGGCTTGTTTTATGATGAATGACTTACGGATATGGCTTTTGTCTGCGTGAGCAGCTTGGAATGGGTAACCCTTCTGTAGACTGAATATGTGAAACCTAAAGATACGTGTCACAAAACCACTGCCAACCCAGGTCCTGCACCACAGGTGTGGCTCTTTGCAGACCTTTGGAAATGCCAGCAGTAACTGTCACAACCCAATCCACCGCATTGTTCACTCCATTGGGCTGACCTCAGATGCACAGCCTTTCCTGAACAACATCGCCTGAACAGGTGTTAGAAGTCCAAGTCTGCTAAATACATTGATTTCATAAAGGGCCAACTTCATCTATATTGCACTGGTGGAAAAATGAGCTCAGCTTTCTTCAATTACTCCTAAAAGAAAAAATTGTTCTGTTTTACAACACTTCCAAATGTTGCAACGTAATCTAAGCTACCCAGGTAAGAGTTAACATTTTAAGTACTTTAATTTTGCAGAACCTAAGCTTTTTTTTTTTTTTTTTTTTTTTTTTTCCCCCAAGGACACATTTTAAAGGGGAAAAAATCCACGTAAAAAAGATTTTTTTAATATAAATTAAATATACTTTCACAGAAATATCATAATTAAACTGCAGAAGCCCTTTATACATCTCTGTGCTAAACTTTCTTCAGTCTTCCCCCACTGCGAACCCTGACTGCAGATGAAGTGTTTTAACCTTGCCCTCTTAATTTATTCTACATTCTAATTTTCAATAAACAGATGCCGCCTCTTTCCGTGCTTGTTTCCACATTGTTCCACATTCTGCCTGTGTTGTTTCTGCATGTGTGAATATTCAATTATCCACTTCTCCATGATTCTGCAACTGATGTACTAAATGCCTGCACAGGTTTGGGGGAAGGGAAGTAGAGATGGCAAAACTTAGGGAAAAAAAGAGTTACAAAAGTTTGAATGATCCTGGCAGGCGCACTCCCTGAAAGCCGCTAAGTTAAAATCACAAGCAACAATTCTTAATGCCAAGATTCTGAACACAGGAATGCAAGGACTGGCTGCACACTGCCTCACAACACACACTTGAATATGCACAGCACTTGAATACGAAAGGCTCAGCAGAGACCAAAGGGGCAGAGGAAGCTGTTGGTATCCCCTTGCTGCTGCTGTATCGTGTCATAGAATTGCAGAATCATTAAAGTTGGAAAAGACCACTGAGATCACCACTAAGCCCACCCCCACCATGCCCACTAACAACATCCCTTGGTGCCACATCCACACAGTTCTTGCACACCTCCAGGGACGGTGACTCCACCACTTCCCTGGGCAGCCCCCACCAGTGCCTCATCGCTCTCTGTGAGAAGTTTTTCCTAATAACCAACCCCAACCTCCTCTGGTGCAACTTGAGGCCATTCTCTTTAGTGTTATCGCTAGTTACACAGAAGAGGCCAATCCCCACCTCACCACAATCTTCTCTCAAGCAGTTGTAGAGATCCTTGAGCCTTCTCCAGACTAAACAATCCCAGTTTCCTCAGCTGTTCCCCATAAGTCTTGTGCTCCAGACTGCTCACCACTTCATTGCCCTTCTGTGAACACACTCCAGGACCTCAATGTCTTTCTTGTAATGAGGGGCCCTAAACTGAACACAGAATTCAAGGTGCAGCCTCACCAGTGCTGAGTACAGAGGGATGGTCACTTCCCTGCTCCTGCTGGCAACATTATTTCTGATACAAGCCTGGATGCTATTGGCCTTCTTGGCAACCTGGGCACACTGCTGGCTCATGCTCAGCCAGCTGTCAGCTAACAACCCCTGCCCCCAAAGGTATCAGGAATAAGAGTGCAAAGGCGCTTCCTTACAGCTCTCCAGACCCCGTGGCCCAAAAGCCTGCCTACAGCTGGGAGCAGATTTAATCAGTAAATGTAAGAAAACGCACAGAACTGCACTGGCATCCAGACTCAACAGTTCACAATGCTGCTGCATTACACAGTTGCAAAGATACCTCCAGTTCCCGCTGGCTGGAAGCTACTCGGTTCCCTTGCACAACAACCCAGATGGGAGCCCGAGTGAATGGTGCTGGCAGCTGCTTTCACACCGTGCCAATCTCACTCCAGGAACAGAATGATCCAGCGTGGAGATATTCTAAGCATCCTCAAGGCTCTGCAGAAACACTGAGTTGAATGGTTTCTCAGAGGTACGTTCCAAAACTGCTCCCTGGTCAGAGAGGGTTCTTGGGTTGAAAGGGTTATGGTTACCAAAAACAAAAGTGGCTGTAGAAGAGGTAGTCCTGGCACTTGTGCACAGGAACTTGTAGCTGGTGCAGTTTGAGAAGCCAGTGGCACTGTGCAGAAGAGGCAGCACAGGGACAGGCAGGTTTGGAGGCCTCGGGCAGCCTTTGCTGGCCAGGACCCTGCAGAGCTGCAGTTACACGGGGCTGTCCTGGCCTCCACCCGCCTCCTGCACTGCCACCCTTCTTGCTTCTCACCTGGTGACACAAAGCCTACTTGCTCACTTTGCCAGGGCTGTGTGGCACTTTCTGACGTCAGGAGCAGCACAGCACCTGCCTGTAGTCCTGCAACAAAAGCAGAAAGATCCAGAGAGGAAAGCAAGGCACAAAAACCTGGCCACAGAATGGCAATGAAAGGCCTCTGTGTAATCACTGGAGCCTGGTGATTAAGAACCAGAGCAGCATCCTGACACTAATAGGAGCATGTGTGCTGTCCTGAGGCTCTGTGGATGTGCTCCTCTTAACTAATTCAGTGCACTTGCACAGCTGTTTAAAATCACTATTCACCAGTGCAGACAATTAAGTGGTAACAGCCAGAACAGTAAAAGTGTCCAAAGGGCAGAGCAAACATGACAAACAACCCTCCCGCCGCACACTCCCGCCTCACAGCCCTTGAGCGCGCTGCACTGCATGGGGCAGCGACCCCAGCTCTGCTCCAGGAAGAACAGCTCAGATGGGATGCAGAGCTGCAGCTGTGGGAGGCGACAAGACCTAGGAATAAAAGCATCACCGTGGAGTTTAGACAGGCTGAATGACCACCGCACCCTTGTCTGCAGGCATGCTGATGGCTCTGCACAGTGTGAAAGCTGCTCGCACACCTGGCAGTCCATCAGGGGCAGGCCTGGGCCACACATGTGACTGGAAAGCCTTTCAAGGCTTTGTCTGTACAAACCATGCAGCTGGAGCTTAGCTCCCCGCAACCAAAGGCTGCTAAGAAAACCCAACAAAACAAACAGAACTTTATAACCTGAAAACTACTGGAAAAAGCAAGGTGACATGCTGTGACTACTTTGCCCATCTGGAGACTGAGATAGAGCTCACCTCACTGTACCGCTAAGCAGGCCCTTCGAAGATGTGTTTGGCCTGGAAGAGCTGCTCACCAGGCAATGCCAACCCATTCCTGTTCAGCACACACAGCCTCTTGCTGGGACATCTTCCAGAGCTGGTGTTTTTGTGAACGTCGGCAGGAATTGCACAGGTCTGCTCAGATAGCACAGGAGCAGGGAACAGATCAGCAGGTAAACCAGAAAAGTGCATAGTGCCCGTGAAGCATAAATAAAGATTTAATCATATGCTTGGTTAATATTTACAAACATCAAAGTTGCTGTCAGATATGCAAAAAAGAAAAAAAAAAAAAAAAAGATGAAAGTAAGAGACAGGGTCTGCAGGAGCCAAGCAAAGCCAAGATATAACAGGTTAGAGTATTTATTGTGGAGTGGCATATGCCTGAGTACGGAAGGGAGATGCACCATAAAAACCCAAGGAATAAATAAATATTGACATTGTTATACAGCTGTTTAGCTTCTGGAGACCAGTGATTTGTGGGACCATATGTTGGACAAAATGAGACCATTTGTTGATAATTGTAAATGTGGTGACCCCTTACAAACTGAATATTAAAAATATTAAGTAAATGGCATATTTTAATTACACAGTAAAGAGGCTGTTCTCCACCACTAAAAGACAGCAGCTGTCAGGAGGAATTGATCACGTGACTGAAGGTAACATTTATTTGATAGTAGACCTTGGTAAAAGACATCCCACATGATTTTTAGACTCTCAGACAAACATTTGGTTCAGACTTGCACTTAATTGTGAAGCTTCAGCTTCTTTGTCTTCTGAAAATTTTCACGTGTTCTTCAGATACTATAGGGCTTGTTTGGTTTTTATTTTTGTTTTAATCTGCTTCACAGTATTTAAATTTCAAATGAAATATAATTAAATGAGAAACTGTAAACAATGGAGTTTGGAATTGGAAGTCAACATGTTTGTTATTCTTTTTGCCGAAGGTATCAAGTAAGTTGCATAATTACCACAGTATTATACCATCTTTGTCAACACAAACAGTACTTCCTATCATCTTTGAAAGTGCCCTTAGTGAACAACAGAAAGTGCAGACTCCAAAGAAGAGCAGCCCAGGGAGGAGCCAGGAGCATCACAATGCCTTATGAGTTGCATAATGGAATTATATAGAGACAGGCAGCAAGTAGTCACCAGAAATACAAAATGCTCTTATGTATACACCTCTGCAGCTGAGGCAGAGGAGAGATACCAAGGGTTTTGTAGCCTCCTTCCTGCCTATTGTGGTCCGACATTAAGACAAATGTGTGACAGTAAAGCAGCAGTCCATGGGGTGGATTCTTTTTGCAGATCCAAAGACCCCTTCTGTACAGGGGGATTGATTTTCGCCCTCCACATGCCACTGTTGATGATGCACACATTCCTCATCTCACATCGTGCCCATCCTATGGTGAGGCACTTGCAGGGTCTGAAGGTTGGGGCACGTGAAATAGGGAGCTGGTAGAAAGCATGCTGCTATCCCATTGGAAGCAAATGGCAGCGTGGGCCCATAGAAAACTTCTTCCTTCCCTTCCTTGCTGACATCCAGCACCTGCAGGGCAAAGTAGAAAACATTTCTGGGATCACAAAAGTAGTCTGAAATAAATTTGCTGGCACAGAATGCATGAGTGTACTACTAATTCCAGCAGAAATGTAGTCTCAGATCACTTCTAGATTGCACTTGGGGATCTGCTGATTTACTGCTGCCTTTATCACCCAACTCTTATGCTAGTTTAGCCAATTGATAGCAGACAGTGACATTTGGTGGTGCAGCAGAGCACCAAAATGCTGACACATGTTGCCACAAAGCATGATTCATTTGTAAACTTGGAGCAAGGGAAACTGGAAAGACTAAATACATGAATGACTTAAAGACAATGAAGATGTATGGAGAAAAATGGGTTTTATTCCAAACGCAAGAGTAAACTCAGATTTGAAGATCTGATTTCATTGGTGAAAGCCAGGCACAGTGCCAACACCTCTGCCAGAGCATCCTTACTCTCCTTTTCCCATTAATGCTGCAACTGTGTCAGGCAAGTTTCCAGCTCATGACCATGATTTTAAGGAAATGGGAAGATTTGCATTCTGAAAGTGAGATCTCAGGCTCATCATCACCTGTCCCTAAGCAGTATTTAAACCCAGGTGCAAAACTGCAAACTACCCACTGACTATAAACAAGCAAGGCCACTGCCTTGATACTGTGCTGCTCATTACTCCATTCAGAGAACTGTACTTCAACTTGTGTTCCCCAAACCTACCCGTGTGTTGTTTTCCAAGGAAAATTTTTAGATATGGTATCTGACATCCTAACAACACTCAATGATAATATCAGGAGAGTAAGATTTTAACTGTTTATCTTGCTCTGCTCTTTACAAACTCCTGCTAGTGTGCATTCATTATAAGATCAGCAGCTCAACATCTGATACATTCCCTTGTGCTGGGTCTAACTTCCATCCTTATGGGACAGCTTGAAGGTTAAATTCTAAAATGTTCAGCTGGAAGCTAATGAAAATATTGCTTATCAGTAAAAGTGCAGAAACAGAGATGGAACTAAGAGTTCCTGTGTGACCAGCTGGGCAGTTACAGAAAGCTATGGCCACGATGCAGATTGGCTTCACTCAGAAGACTGCAGGAAGATAAGAACTCCTAATTTCTGTATGGGAACATCTGAAGGACACAGATCTGCAGGTAAGCTGCTGTTACACAAGATGAGAGAGTGGAAGAGTTTACTGAACAATCTACTGCCTACAGCAGGGATCAAAACTTCCATTCAAGCTTTGAAGCAGTAAGCACTAGGGCAGGTTGCAGGCTTACTGAACTTTGCCAAAGAACGACACATTAACTCTGGCTGCTCTTCTGAAAGACAGCTTGGAGAGGAATAACATCACACGAATGGCTGAAAACATGTTAGCCCACATCTCACTGTCCATTTCTTCATCTCTTTTACTTTTGAATTCCGCTGTGTAACCTGAGAATATACCCACCGTTTTACTCAAATCTTGTTAAAGGAGAGATTCCTCAACCCTGTTTTCCTAGAATATCTTACTTAGAATAATTATATTTAATTGCTAACCCGGAAATATTTCTTAATATCTGCATTTCCTCTCAGGTTTGTAGAGGCTCCGGGGCTGCTTAAGAAACATCCTTAATCTCTCCACTTCACCTGCATTTTCCTTTTTAAATAACCTCTGTGCAAAACATCTCCTTGCAAAATTATTGGAAAAGACTTTAAAAGAAACCTAAATCACTCACCTGGATACATGCCAGAGGCTCATTTGTCCAAATTGAATAGCCGCCAACTAAATATATTCTACCATTGTGGACCGCAACTCCAGACTCGTTTTGACCTAAAGGAAAAAAAGGAATAGAAAACACTTCCAATGTTTAATTAACCCTTTTAACACTGAGTGCTGGAGTTCTGCAGTAAGATGCAAATGCACTTGGCAGTAACTTGAGTTACAGAGTTGACAACTTGCAACAATCGATGTGAAACATGAGGGCTGTGCTCTGTTGTCCACAGGAGCTCAGGACGGTGCCATCCGGAGCAATACAACAGATGAGTCGTGTCACAGATGCACAGTGGGGCTGGGCAGGGGACCATCTGCTGCCTTCTCAGTAGTTTCTGTGCACTTGTATTTCATAGGTGATGGGTGAGCTCCCTGCCTGCTACCAGCTAACATTGCACTCATCCATTTAACACAGACATGCTGAAGGATCTGAACTCACCCCTCTGCCCACTAGAGCCACGGGTACAATAGGGAAAACTGCAGGAGTTGCTATGAAAGCTCACTCCAACAGCAGCAATCTCCTTAACTAATCTGAAGGTTCTGAAGTATAAATAAAGCTTTACAATCTGCTACTTGGTGCAACGTCTTCTGCCAGTCATGAAATCACAGAGAAAAGCTCAGGTGTGGACCATGGGAACAAGCCAACTGCTCACATCTGGGGAGAGACAGCATTTGATGGCACGGGGTCAGCTCCAGAGCAAGGGTGCCTGCAGTGCCAGGACTTTTGCAGTTACAAGTCAGGAGTCTTATTCAAAGGCTGTCATTTTGAAGGAAAATGAACACAAAATAGAAGAAATCCATTAAACAGAGAGCAATATGAATATGATAAACTAGTTCTGTTTGATAGTGTGCAATTCTTCCTTTTTGATCCAAGCATCTTTCCTTAGTGTCCATGAAGGACTCTGATGATGTAACTCAGAAACTAAGCAATCCTGAAGATTGCAGAGATTAACAAAGCCAATACAATATATTAAAGAACAAAAATCCACTATAACAGCTTTTAAATCTACCAAAAGGAAAACGACACCATGTGACTATCTTATTTGTCAAGTATTTATTTCTCTGACATGTTGTTCCCAGTTGCCCTGAGCTTCTAGTCAATTTCCTAAATCTTCTGTATCCTTTTGAGTGGTAAAAATCAGAAGTGAATGCAAGATTATGAAAAGAGAGGAAGGCTCATTTCTAGGATTCCAATAGCAGTCTGTGCTGAAACGTTTTGACAGACGAAACTGTTACTAAGGGAGTTCCAAGTCTGCTGCAGAAGAGAACACCTCAACATTAATGTCCTGGAAATGCATCATAGAATGATAGAATCACCAAGGTTGGAAAAGACCTACAAGATCATCCAGTCCAACAGTAATTCTCACTAAACCACGTCTATCAGCACAACATCTAAACGTTCCTTGAACACTTTCAGGGTTGGTGATTCCACCACCTCCCTAGGCAGTCCATTCCAGCACACTACTTTTCTGAAAGAGTGGTTGGATTTCCTAACGTCCAGCCTGAATCTCGTCTGGCGCAATTTGAAGCCGAGAGAAGAGGCCACCCCCAGCTCACTACAGCCTCCCTTCTCTTCTGGCAAGCTACTGTTGGTGCTGAGAATACTCTGAGAATGTGTCACTTGCCTGCCTCTACCAGGGATACAAGTGGTAGTACATTTGGGAGTCACATCAGGCAGCGGTGATATTCGGTGGATGATACGGCAGAGACAGAGAGTTAGAGTGCACTGCGAGTTGAAACTGGAACAGTTCCACCTAATGACCATAATGAGAAACTCTGCAGATGACACAGCTATCTAAGCCACTCAATGCATCCTTGATTTGATAGACTTCCAACAAAGACATCTCCTTTCTGGAAACGTATAATGGTGAAGATGTTTGGAAATAAATGACAGTTAATGGATTTCAGTGTAAGCCTTGATCTAGTGTGCCAGCAGAAAGAGATAAAAATGATGATGAGATGCATTTGCCACACCAAACATGGAACTAAATCCATCAGTGCATGCAAGCTTCTAGAGAATCAAAAATAAGTACTGGTAATAATATAACAAAGTGTTTTTGGTTTCCTAATTAATTATATGTGTTGTCTTAAAAATGTAGCCTGCAATATCTTAAAACAAAGGTTTTCTTAAACAATGAATGCCAGGACAGTAATCAAAATTCTTGTGTCTCAACAATGACCCCTAAGCTAGAGGCAACTGTGGTGAAACTGTGGAGTTCCACATACCAAAGGCATGAAAAGGTCAAAGGACTTATGTTTTAATTTAACAGTAGCAACTTTTCTCCTTTTTGTACACTTGCCTGTCAACATGTTGAAGCTGCAACGTGTCCACTGGTCAGCATCAATGCTGTAGGAGTCAATGTGCCGAACCAGGATCCGATCATTGTTGTAGTCCAGGTCGTTCCCACCTAGCACATAGAGTTTCCTTTGGACAGCAGCCATGGAGTGATACACTCTCCTCTGCAGCATTGGGCTACGGCTTAACCACTTGTTCTGCAAAGGAAAAAACAGAACTTGTCTCAGCACTGCTAGAAGTCATACCTCTGTTAGCAATACAATGACATCTGCATTTACTCCTCACCCATGGCTAGAGATTCAAGGTCTATATACTTGTGTTATTCATATGTTAAGCATGCATGTTTGTTACAACATGCACTTGATATAACAAACTTTCAACACGTGGTTTACAGTTCTCACGTTTACATTTATTAATATGAGGCTATTTCTTGTTCCATTTTCCTGTTTAGCTCATGAGGCTTCAAAGCCTGTTTTTTTTTTTTTTTCTTTTCCTGCAGAATTCAGTAGCAAATCTTCCTTATGCAAGACTATTAGATGATTCCTTTGTATACAGCACTAACATGTCTGTACCAACCAGCTCTGAGAGAGAAGATTCTTCTACCTTACATTATTCAGAAGCTTATTTGGTCTCATCCTTGGGGAGTGAAGCAACAGGGAAAAATAATTTCCTAAAGGATCTTCTTAAGTGATTTGGGCACTTGGTTTAATGCTAACCCTTTATTTGCAGGCACTCACAAAGTAAAATCCTTTTGCATATTTTTCCTTCTGTTAACAATATTCAGGAATTCTGCTATTTGTGGGGTGGAGGGAGGACACAAAAGAAGAGCAGTTACAGCACAGTATTTCAAATGCAGGAAAGCAATTGCTTCTACTATGCTTACAGAAGCAAACAACCTGGCAATCAACAAGATTAATTTATCTACGAGGAGGAAGTTAAAATCTGTGAGGAAATTCTTTGTGTTACACGTGCTAGTGCTTGTGGTAGCTCAAGAGTCTCTAATAACACAGCCTTTTAACCTCTGCAATATATAGCTATACATTTCAATGTGTAACAGTTGAGTATTAGGCATTAATGCTTGCATTAGTAGTCCAGTCTCTTAACACGAGACTATAGGCACCATCTGCTTTGCAAAGCCTGCCTGCATCCCCTGATTATATCTTCAGGTTCCTCCACTGCGGTGCCTGCCAGGTGAGCCGCTGCACGCTGCAAAGGCAACGAAAGCGAGGGGCCTGGCGGGGTCATTTCTAATAAGGCAGTGTGTGCATGCTAATCAGTGGTGAGGAAGCAGAGGTCACCCCGGCCGGCTTGCTGGCAGGTAGCTGTGTGCTCTGTGGCAGATGGCAGGCATTATCGACTTGCCACAAAGGCCTCGCGCAGAAGCGAGCACGAGTGCTGAATGATGGAGTTATTGAGATTCCGTGCGAGATGCAAGCAGATGTGATGGTTTCCAGTACCCACCGTAAACAATATGCCAGCAGAATTTTTAAAAAGAGCATGTGTGTACAAACATGAAGCAGGCCTCATTTGAAGGAGGCAAACGCATGCTTTCTCCTTAACTCTTTATACGTCAGGCTGGGCTTCTCACAACCAGCACCATGCACTCAAGTTGCCACTGATATTTTGGGGTGCAACTTCCAAAGCCACATCAGCAGGAGCCACGGCAAAGGACATGGACATGCGACAGAGAGACAGGAACTAAACGAGTGTCCCATTCATGAGCAAAATGAGATTGCTGCCTGTAATTACGACATGCCGAGGTTTGGGGTAGAATTGGCACTTGTGCAGTCAATGATCTGAATGTACCTCAAAGGATGAGGTAGCTCTGTCAGAGTCTGCTTTCTGCCTCAGCACCCATTTGTAGTATGCCTTAAAAGCCAGCGGGAGCCACAGTAATGTGTGCCATGGCCCAAGACAGCAACCAAAGGCCCTATCCTGTAATCAGAGAAGTAAACACCTTCCCATGCAGGAATAAACCAGGCTGTGCAACTCCAATTGCAAGCTTAGAACTTCTATTTCCTAATGCTAGTGAGAGGGCATAACCATGCCCTAACCCCCTGAAATGGTCACTGAGCCATGCTAACCTAATCAAAACAAATACATAATGTATGAATTAATCCCTAAAATACATTTTAGGTAGTTGGGTAATGAAATGATAGGCACCCTTGCAGTCAGCAGAATAAGGCGCTGACAGGTAGTGCAGTTCTGAAAGAATGGAGAAAACAAAAAGCTTGTGTGTATGTAATTGAAAGCTGAAATGTGAAAGATAAGAAGCAGCCTTGTGACACTGGCTTTAAGTACATGCTGCTTGGGGCTGTTGGATTACAAACAAATGAACAAGCAAAATAAATACTAGTAAGTAGAGGAGCTTAAAACCCATTTATTCTAAGATTCTAAGCATTTAATCCAAAATGTTTCTAAAACGTATGGGCATCAAAAATATAAAAATCAGTCAGGTTGTCCACTACTCTGTTAAACACGTATCATCAGTGTAAAGTGAATTTAAACCACCATCAACTCAAATGGACAGCATTTTAAACTTAAGAAATCACAGCATGCATTTGGTAAAGACCTGTTTTAAACGAAAGATAGGAGAGAAATGCATACGACACAGATACCCACCTGCTTGGGATCATAGACCATGAGCCTGTTTTGATACTGTGCAGTATTTGTTACTCCTCCTATGAAAGAGTTTATACAGGTTACATATTTTTTTTTCACACAGGCAAAACCAGGACCAAGATGCAGTACAGTAAAACAACCAATTGTAGGGTCCATTTGCTGACAGGATTACATTGCATAACTCCAGTTACATTCACATGCCACTGCACCTTTGTCAACTGCAACTGAATTCCATATATCTTCAAAGGAAATTCTACATTTACCACATATATTCTGCACTGCAGAGCAAACACCTTCTGGCTTTGTCATAGTTTTACGTTAGGAAGTTCCTCCACAGTGATCAGAAACAATGCTAACCATCTGGCATATCAACTTCTCAATAATCTACAGAAAAAAAAAAAAAAGGTATACCTCAGCACCTCAGGAAAATCCAGAATAGGGACTGGGGACACGTCCTCACCTGGTCTTAATGTGCCTCCACGCTTAGGAGTCCTCATTTTGACAGAGCCCAGCTTCACCTCATGCGGTACTTTTGGAAGATAACACACAGCCTTTCCATGCTGCATCACATAGCACCCATCCCCCATCTGTAGGTTACACACAAGAACGTGCTTTGGAAAGCAACAGTTGCTGATGTCACAGTGTTGTTTGTCTCCACGGTGCTGTGCAGCCTTTGCTAGTGGCCATCAGCCACGACCACAAAACAATATTTTCTAACGCCTGAAATTTGATACCTTTACAAAGCTATTTTCACTCCCAGTGTTTAAAAATGGGATGTCCCTGAGCGTGTTGAAAAAATAAAATCCACAGTTGCTTGGATGACTGCCTCCAGAATGCCAGCCTACAGGAGGTACAACAGAAACACAATGCTGGGTCTCTTCTTCTGAAAGCACACCTCCATGTTGGGGGGAAAATGTGGAGGAAGAAAAAGAATGGGGCTGCTTCCTTATAAAATAATGAAATAAGCAAAAGAACAAAATTATTTTCCTCTCTTCACAAAGAGCCCCTCGTATCAAGTACATAGCTTATTTTTTTTCCCTTGCAATATTGCTCATCTGTGGTGTTTTATCATTACATTCCCTTCACATACCGCTCTTCACTTTTAGATTAATCTGCCAAAATGAGATGCTAAGGATTTGCATACAGATTTGACTACACAAAAATAGATCTGGAATTAATAACAGTCTCTATATGTTTTAATTTCTTCTAGACTGGAGTACCCTTGCCTCCAGCAGTATTCTTGGCTTTGAAAGTCATCAAGCTGATTTGTCTGCTCTTAGGTTATGATGCCACATGCTGCTACACTGTCCCCTGCAATCAAAGTGCTCACAGAGATAGATTCCATGCCTTCCCCTAACAAGTATATTTTATAGATTGGCAGTTTTGATCTCCCCTCCCCAGGGGGATAATCTGCATCTTAACAGGTTTCTATAGATACATCTGTCATTAAATATGCCATCTTATATCTGCATCAATTTTCAAACTCGAGTTCCTCCTAACTTTGAAGTGCTATAGCAAAAGTTTAAAATTTTCTGCCAAAATTCAAATTTAACAAGTCTATAATGTCCTCTTGAACTATTCTTTTAAAAATACTCCAGGCAGTTGGGAAAGGGCATAAGATTAACATATCTCTTAAAAAATAGGATAAGGAATAATAAGTTTAAATAGTGCTAAAAATAATACATACTTTCAGAAAAAAAAAAAAAACAAAAAACAAAAAAACAAAACCAACAACAAGAACAACAAAAAACTGGGGTAATTCTGAAATGATTTCTTAAACTGCCCTGCAGTACTTTTTATGAGGAAGGAAGAGGGAGGTATGGTAGTAACACTTGAAGACTTGAAACTACAAACTACGCTATGAAAGCTGATGTTAAGCAAAGGCAGCTAATGTGGTAGCAAATAAATTAAGGGAAGTGAAGAAAACGTCTGGCTGGTCCAACAACATCAAAACTTACAGCTCAGTCATTGCTCAGTGGATTTTACAAACCATTCAGGCACGAGCAGCTTGCTCTGAGGACTAAAATCTCAGGAAGGCAAGGAGTGCCCTCAGGAGAAGCCTGTATCTTCCTTGTTCCTGCAGGATGGCAGTCATGAGAAGTCCAGCTTACAGAAGTTGTTACAGGGCCACAGCCATTGCTGCTCACTTCTTTTACATCAGATGCTGCGAGGCAGGCCACAACCCCTGCTTTCTAAGCCCTCCAGAAGCCTTAAGTTCCCAGCACTGCAGTGCCTCTATCCATGAAGAAATTCTTAGAAGCTGGCTGGGGCTTACCCTCCCCTTCCCGACATTTGCAAAATATTTTGTTTTGTTACAGCACCCAAACAATCCACTAACTGCATTGAAGCACACCTTCAATAAAGCCACCTCCAAAAAGAGAAGGGTGGCAGGCAGGAGGTTTTGTACAATTTTCCCAATCAGACATTTATCATCCATATTTATATCGTGTCCTAGTAAGACCCCCCATCTGACTTGAGAAATCTCACCCAATCCAAATCCCACAGAAAATCTCACCACTCTCTCTGAAAGTCCCCGGGTGCTAGGTTGTGCACATGAATCCCAGTTTGCTGGGAGATGTGTAAAACCACATGTTGGCAGAGAGCTCCCCATGTGCACTCCTTCCAGCAAGTACATGGAATATAGCAAGCTCAGGAAGTGCGCCCTACGATGCTTGGCTGTTTTAAAATAGAAATCTCTCCTCTCTCTCCTGCCTCTGTGTTAAATAGGAGATCATGGAGGCCTTCTATTCAGCCAGCACAGGTGCAGTGAGGGCAGTTGAGCTACCTTCCTTCACCCTCATGCACCCTTAAAGGCACCAATGGCAGCTCTAAGCTATGACAGTCCTCTCTGGATGCAAACTAGCTGTCAAACAAGAGGGGCACAAGCCCGACCTTTTCATACATATTTTTTAAATCATTACAAATCATAGAATTACAGAATGGTTTCTGTTGGAAGGGACTTTTAAGATCATCAAGTTACAATCCCTCTGCTATAGCAGGGACACCTCCCTCTAGATCAGGTTGCTCACAGCTCCATCCAGCCTGGCTTTGAATGCTTCCAGGGAGGGGGCATTCACAACCTCGCTGGGCAACCTGTTCCAGTGTCTCACCATGCTCACAGTAAAGAGTTTCTTCCTAATATCTCAACTAAATCTACCCTCTTCCAGTTTAAAACCATTTCCCCTTCTCCTGGCACTATATGTCCTTATAAAAAGTCCCTCCCCAGCTTTCCTGCAGAACGCCTTCAGGTACTGGAACACCACTATAAGGTCCTCTTGGAACATTCTCTTCTCCAGGTTGAAGAGCCCCAGTTCCCTCGCCTCATAGGGGAGGTGCTCCAGCCTTCTGATCAACTTCATGGCCCTCCTCTGGACCTGCTCCAACAACTCCATGCCATTGCTGTGCTGAGGGCTCCAGAACTGGACACACTACTCCAAGTAGGGTCTCACAAGAGCAGAGTATTGGGGCAGAATCACCTCCCTCCACCAGCTGGTCACAGTTCTCTTGATACAACTCAGAATATGGTTGGCCTTCTGGACTGCAAGAGTGCATTGCTGGCTCATGTTGAGTCTTTCATCAACTGACACCCCCAAATCGTTCTTCTCAGGGCTGCTGTCAAGCCATTCTCTGCCCAGCCTGGGTGCTTACTTTCAATCTACAAAGAATTAATGACATCAGATCAATGTCTCTGCTTGAAAGCTGTGAGGTTTGAATTAGATGATCTTTGAGGTCCCTTCCAACACTAACCATTGTATGATTCTATGATTATCTTTATTAAAAGATAATAATAATAAAGAAGAAACACTATCCCACAGCCAGACTTAGACTGGGTCACAGAGACAATTTATCTCCTTATAAAGCCCCTATACATGGTATTTTCCGTGCCTGCTGCACCACAAAATTGGATTTGGTTAGATACTGTAGACTCCTATTTATTTCAGATCCATTTTTCATAAAACGATATTACAGGGATTTACTGGGGAAAAAAAGATCTCCCCACAACATACAGCATACTAATAGTAATGCAATACTCCAAAGCACTTAGAAATTCAATAATTCTTGAAGATACGTGATCTCCATAATTTCATTGGTTAAAATCTCACCATTAGGAAAATAAACAAGTCTCAAAATTAAAAAAAAGAAAAACACAACCTTGAATCTCGATTTTTGTTAAAAATATTATTAAATATGAAGCAATTGTAGGGGGTTGGTTATTTTTCTCCCACAGAACTGAGTATTCCCATGCACATCAAGATGTGACTTCAGCCAGCAGCCGTCAGGTCAGGCAGCTCAGACCTCTGCAGAACAACAGGATGGTACTGGCTCTTGGCAGCACCTCTTGTGCTGCCTCCTGAGCACTTCACCAGGAGGGATAGACCCTCATCTCCCCTGCAGATGCAGAAGTGGCACTGAGCTGAGGGTCTGTCAGAGGTCCCCTCGTCTCTGCACAACCCAATCTATACATGCAAGGCACCTAACGGGTGGAAAAGGCTGACCCTATAGAAAAGGAGGTCTCCAGATTTGCATGCATCATGGAGGATGAAGAAAAAAAGAGGCACAGTTCAAGTCTGCACTATTATGGAAAATGTTTCACTGCTTTTATAGGAAGTGATTGTTAGTAATGTTGAACTCCAAGGGGCTCAGTGCAGTTTGTGGCTCTTTCACTCAAATACTTTGCTTTGCTAGCATGTGGCACGCAGTGTGTTTGTGAAAGGGATCGGGGTGTCAGATGAGAACTGGGGCCTCTAAGATTCATCTTTCTGTAAAATTTCAAAGCCATCTGCCTGACATTGTACTGTCAATGCAGAGAGTACTTTAGTGAATTATCATTCACTTTTTAAAATAAGAAGATAAAATTAAATAGAGGGTCATTAAAAAAAAAAAAGAGAGAGAGAAAAAAAAAGACGCACAAATATAGAAGGATGTCTCACAATATATGGAACTGAACCCACTTTTGCCATCTAGAGTCAGGCTTGTTCCCAAGTGCACTAGTCCCAAGCCCTCAGGTAGGTAAAGGGCCCTGAGGAGTGGAGGCAGCTTGGCAGTCCCTGCATCCCTGCACCACCTACCTGCCAGCTCTTGCATGCTCTTGTGTCATGCACTCTGCTTATTGCCCTTCCCTTTCCTGCCACTGCCACCAAGATTTTAGTCTTTGTGAGTTTTGATTCCTTCCTGTATTACTCCCAAAGGAGGTGCAAAGTAATGCCAGCAATGAATCCCAATAATGACAACAGAAAACCCTTTAATTCTAGCCAGACTTTGATTAGCAAAGCCGTAGAAGGAAGGGCTTGTAGCAAAGGTATTACTGTTTTGACTATTAATCATGTTTTGATGACTTTCTCCACAAACACAAGGTCTAAAAATTTATATTACTACTATTTAACTTATTCACTTATTAAAAAGCTGGGCAGATTTTCATAGTAGTTGTGCCAGCTAGTAGCATCAGACTGACTTTGAGAGCTCTGGTGATGACCTGAATTTCCCATAAAGCAGCAGGGATACTTCTCAGAAACATCCCTAACTCAGACTAATTTTTTAATCACATAATTTTAGATTAGGTGCTTAAAAATTAGGTTCCCTCCCACATTACTGATTATTCTTACACTAACATCTTATATTTGATGGTGGAACAGCAGGTCTTTTCATCAGTAACTACTGATATGTTAGCACAATAAAACATCTCCATGTACCATTCCTCTGCCCCTGAACGCCCTTGAATATACATATATACTCCTAAGCAATCAATTAATGGTAAAAAGCTAGTTATAGTTAAAACATCTCCATCTACCTTTATTTTAAAAATAACTGTTCAACAGATAAATCCCAGCTTTCAATTTGTGAGTACATAATTCAGATCAATATCCTCAGAAGTATTGCATTTCATAATCTACAGTAAACAAACGGAATCTGGCAACTCTAACAACCCAACAGTCCTATCTGGCTTACTCTGCTGCCAAAACTTCATACACCATTGGTTTTTACCACAGGAGCTATGTTGCATTTTCAAATATATGTGAAACAATACTGGTAAAATTTGGTTGTTGTGGTTTTTTTTTTTTTTGCCATTTGTTAGCAGTTGATCTAATAAGCTTCTATGACTTCTTCCCTCTGATTCTGCAAGTGTATTAAATATGTAATATCACAGTGCTTCATTATATAAATCCCAGCAGCATCTGGACACAGGCATGCATGTATTCCACTTCCATAACTAAACACATAAAAAACAGCATAATATAATAGAATCATAGAATGGTTTGGGCTGGAAGGGATGTTTAAGAGCATGTAGTTCCAACCCCATACTGTAGGCAGAGACACTTCCCTCTAGACCAGGTTGCTCAAAGCCCCATCCAGCCTTGTCTTGAACACTGACAGGGAGGGGGTATCCACTGTTCCAGTGTCTCACCACCCTCACAGTAAAGAGTTCCTAGTATCTCATCTAAATCTATCCTCTTCCAGTTTAAAGCCATTTCCCCTCATCCTGTTGCTATACACCCTCATAAAGTCCCTCCTCAGTTTTTCTGAGAAACACTTTCAGGTACTAGAAGGCCACTATAAGGTCCCCCCATTTTCTCTAGGCTGAAGAGCCCCAGCTCTCTCAGCCTGCCCCCAGAGGGGAGGTGCTCCAGCCCTCTGATCAACTTCATAGCCCTCCTCTGGGCCTGCTTCAACAACTCCATGCTATTGTGCTGGGGGCTCCAGAACTGGATACAGTACTCCAGGTGGAGTCTCACAAGAGAGAGTGGGGCACAAGGACCTCCCTTGACCTGCTGGTCACGCTTCTTTTCATGCAACCCAGGATACAGTTGGTCTTCTGAACTGCAAGAGTGCATTGCTGGCTCATGTTGAGTCTTACATCAACTGACACTCCCAAATCGTTCTTCTCAGGGCTGCTTTCAAGCCATTCTCCATCCAGCCTGTACCTGTGCTTGGGATTTCCCTGACCCAGGTGCAGGATCTTGCACTTGGCCTTGTTGAATTACATGAGGTTGACATGGGCCCACCTCTCAAGACTGCTCATGTCCTTCCCTGTAGCATCCCTTCCCTCTAGCTTGTCCACTGCACAGCTCAGCTTGGTATTATCTAGAAACTTGCTGTGGGTGCGCTTGCTCCCACAGTCCATATTGTCTACAAAGATGTTAAATAACTCTGGACCCAGCGCCAATCCCTGAGGAATGCCCCTCATCAGTGATTCTATGATTCTATCACCGGTCTCCACTCAGACACTGCGCTGCTGACCGCAACTCCCTGAGTACAACCATCCAGCCAATCCTTTATCCAGAGAGGTCCAACCATCAAATCCATTTTTCTCCAATTTTGTGACCAGGATGTCATGAGGGACAGCATCAAATGTTTTGCACAAGTCCAGGTAGATTACATCAGTTGCTTTTCCTTTATCCCTGACACTGTAACTCCATCATAAAGGCAGCCAAGTTCTTCAAGCATGACTTGCCCTAGATGAAATTATGTTGATTACCACCAGTCACTTCATCTTTATTTTCCATGTGCCTTAGGGCCTTCCGGAAAATTGGCTCAATGATCTTGCCAGGCCCAGAGGTGTGACTGACTGACCTGTAGATCCCCGCATCTTCTTTTTTCCACTTCTTAAAAATGAATGTTATGTTTCCCCTTTTCTAATCAGTGGGAACTTCATCAGACTACCATAAACTTCACCAAACTGCCATGAATACTCCCTTTTCTAGCACAGCTGGAAAAAATTAAAAGCGATCTGAAGCCAATCTCACATTTGCCTTAAAAATCTCTAACAAACTGGGTAGAGATTGTTTGTAATTTTAGTACAGAAAAAAAAAAAATGATTAAAAAAAATCATTTTTTGTAATGTACTAGAGCAAGGACCACACTCTGACAAGTACTTCTAGTGCTCTTTCAAGGATTTCACACAGATACATTAAAGACAATTTCCTAAAAAGTGCTGTTTGTCAAAAATAGAAACTGTCAACCGTTAACTGTAAGAGGAAGGTAAATAAATAAAGAAATCAAGATATAGTAGAACTAGCACCTTCATACTTTGTCTTGCCCATCACAGGCACTCATCTCTTTCCACTGATGGAACAAGGGAGGTAATGAATAAACAGGGGAAGGCTCTGAACACACCTTGTTGATTCCTTACATCAAAAATCCATACCCGACTCTTAAAGCAGACCACATGCACACTTAATACACAACCCAAACTGTAAGGAACTTCTTCAAAGTTAACCATTGCAGAAAGAGACCCGGAGTGCCTGCCAGGCATCTCTGTGACTCCTGATGTTCTCTCATGCCATTCTTTCCAAACATATCAGTCATGATTTCAGTGCGTATGGATGAAAATAGGTGTCCATTACTTCTCCCAGCAGGGCTAGGAGATATAATCCTGTGAACTATTTAACTTGTAAGGGCAGAAAGATACATCCACAAGGAGCTCCGCTAACCTCAATGGCATATGTTGACAAGCACAATGAAGGCTTAATGAGCTCAATTAATCATTTGTTCACATATCATCTATACACCATAGGATTCTCAAACCACACCAAAATCCTTAGAGGCTATCTATAGTTAAGACACCGTCACTGAACATTTTCTTTAAGGGCTGGTCCTACCTACTCACTGACATACATAAGACAACATTATCACCTTCCATGACACACTTCTTACTGAAAAGTGCTTCCATTTTGCCTCTTGTGCCTTCCATAGAAAGCATCAACCTTGTTCCAAAGCAAGTAATACCAGAAAAGTCACTACAAGGACTGATGGCACGATGTCCTCAAATCCCATCACTGAGTACACGTACAACAAAAAGCCTATCAGACTGAGTTGCAAATGATACGTTAGTTTACAATTACAAGGCCTATACTTTCATCTACCCGTGCCATAGTGCTATGATTACATCCAGCCAGTCCTGTGCACTTGTTATTGACAGTCAGAGTCACACAGGATTTCTAATGAAGGTTGCTGTGGCCTGTTAATATATCTTCAAGAGCAAGAAGGAGGAGTTCAATCACCTGCCTTTAAGCCCTAAAGCTACACAAGCCAACAAGCATTTAATTCCCGATTGCAAGAATAAACACAGTAGTACCTGATCATACTACAGAAAGTAGGTTTTACTTTCTTATTTTTCAGCAAGCACACAGAATTTGTAATTCAAAACTTGTCAAAGAGTGCATTATCATTTTGAGTCGCTGCAATTTATGGATGGTGATTGGAAGTAGTGTACACAACATATGCAACTTGAAACACAGAAATCACACAATCACAGAATGACTTTGGTTGGAAGGGATCTTAAAGACCATTCAGTTCCAACTCTCTGCTACAGACACAGTTGCCATCCATCAGATCAGGCGGCCCAGGGCCCCATCCAACCTGGCCTGGAACACCTTCAGGGATGGAACATCCACAACTTGTCTGGGCAGCCCACGCCAGTGCCTCACCACCCTCTGAATAAAATGTCCTCCTAATATCTAATGTAAATCTCCCCTCTTTTAGTTAAAATCATTCCCCCTTGTCCTATTACCATCTGCTTGTGTAAAAAATTGGTTTCTTTCCTGTTTATAAGCTCCCTTTCATATTTAGTAGGCAGCTGTGTTCCGCCCCTATACCTCTAATCAGGCTTCATTACATGCTTCCATTCTAAAGTCCTTTAAAATACTCACTCCTATGACAAAAGTTATCTTGACATATAAAACCAAAGATGGTTTACTAGAAGTCATTCAAGACTGCATTTTGATATCTTGTTAATACCTCAAACTGTGAGAAATGTTTCTACCTGATATCCAAAGAAGACCATCCACCACGTATCCTGCATGGCACGAAAGCGATCGGTCAAAGGACTGTACAAAGGTCCACTTGTTCTTCTTGGGACAGTAGCGTTCTACAGTAGGTAGGACTTGACGCAACTCATTTCTGCCTCCTACTGCATACAGGTATTCGTCCACTGCTCCGAGCACAAAGTGCTCCCGGCAGTTCTTCATGGGAGCTATCTCTGCCCAGGAGTTGGTTCGGGGGTCATAGCGACAGGCAGTCCTCACGGCGCAGGTGCGTCCCGTGGAGTGCTCAGCTTCCCCACCCGCCACAAACAGAAAGTCTCCCATGACGGCAACGCAGTGGTGGCTTCTCCCCATGGGCATCGGTGCAAGCTCACTCCAGTTCGCGATTCCTGCAATGTGAACGTTCTCCTGATCGACAGGGTTGAAGTAGCGCAGTTCCTTCACTTTACAGATTTCACGCTTTTTCCCACCAATAATGTAAAGAGTGTCTGACTGGAAGCGGGGTTTTGTCCTTCTGGTTTGCCAAACTGGCTGTGCATAGATGCTCTGGTGGTAAGCCAAGGCCTCATTAACAAGCGCTGTTGCAGTTTCACTAGCTTGGACGAGAGGATGAGAAAGAGCTACAGTATGCAGTGTATCCACATCCATAAGGCCAAAGCGGACGTACTGGAGAAGCTCATCCATGTACTGGTAGTGGCAGTTGTGCTCCAACCACCTTACAGCCAACTGGAAGTAGGGAGAAGAAAAACAAAATACCAATTATTTGGACACAATTCTGCCAAAGTTTGGTCTTTAAAATCTGTGTTTTCATTCCAAGTAGAGCTACACACTTGCCTCAACAGAGATATCAGTCCATACAAAAAGTAGTCATGAATGAATGTGAGTCATCATAGAAGATACATACTAAACGTCCACCTGTATTACACATAAAAACATTGTATTGCATCATTCCCCAAAAGAATTTCCACAGCATTATCAGACTGTAATACCACTATACACAATATTCCTACGGTTAGTGATGCTATAGGAGAACACAGTCCAGGATCAAGCTGCTGAAGGGACTATGTGACAACAGGTCCACTAGAAAGAAAAGCAAGATTCCAGTTAAGTGATTAGAAAAGAAACACAACACTCTCTTCCCGCTACCTTTAATTCAATTTATGAGGAAAAAAAAAAGATAATAGACCTTTCAATTTTTCCTCCTGTTTCATTTATTTATTAAAAAAAAAAAAAAAAAATTGAGAAAAGTTAAAATGGCCAGAGAGGAGTAGAGATGAGGTTCTGCTGGTTTGAGACTGGGAGAAAGAGGAGAGAAAGACTCTGAAACTGATCAGCAATCACAGGTGGTGTCAACAGCCAAAACAACACACAGACTTGAATTTACATAAAGCTTATTCAATCCATCCTGGTCTGAAAAGAGGCTAGAAAGGGCCTAAACCATTTCAAGAAATGTACACATAATTCTTGAAAATCTCCAATAATGAAAATACCCTTATTTCCACATGAAAACTGCCCTCATACTCAACTATCTTCTTGGGCAGATCTTCCTTTTAATTGTGATGGATTTCTACACCTTTCAACTCACTTGCCTCATTTTCCTTTTTTGGGTTTGTACCCCAGAGCCCAGGAACCACCAGTCCAACCCTTGAGTTTGATGATCACTGCCTCCCATCTATAAAAGATGAAAACCAGCTTCCATTTAGGGCTGTAGTACTAGAGAACAGATTGAAAAGATCATGGACTGTACCAGTCTATGCCATTCTTGTTTGTATATTGTTACATAAGACCATTAATATATTACGATATTGCTGACCTATGCACTAATGACACTGCTGACATACTACTATTCCCATTTTTTTCCCCAAAGAACTTCCACAAAGTGTCACACTTTCACTTATATCAGTAATTAGTCATTATTAATTTTACCGTTTACTTCAAATCACTGTTCCAGTCTGCCAACAATATTCCCACTCGTAATTTTATTTACAAAAGTGCTTGTAGACCATTTCACCATCTGATTGTCTAAAAACATAAAAACCTTGTTATTACATTCTTAAGTCATTCATAAAGACATTGGATGGTTCTAGATAAGGACAGGCTCCTTTGCTTGATTTTTTTCCATATCCTGACAACTCTTGGATGGGGAGCTGCCAACTAGTCATGCAGTAACAGCAGTTACTCACCGCCCTGTAGTGCTCATGGAGAAGTCATACGAAAGAAACTGGAAAGAAAGACTTCTGTCTTACTAAAGACCTTCATATAAGTACAATATATCAACATTACTACTGCTTCTGTATTCTGTCAAAGAGGGAAGGTGACAGACTAAAACCACCTTCTTATTAAGGTTAATTTGAAATGTTTTTTTCTCCACTGCTCTACTCAACCCCTGTGAAACAAAGAATCAATGAAGTGCATCAGTAGTTGCAACAGTAGTTTAGTCAGTTAAATGCTGAAGTGAGCTTCAAAATGTGCATTAGCTGAATGTGTTTAGGCCTGAAGATAAAAGGAAGTTAATTACATACACTTAAAAAGCATTTATGGATTTGAAATCATTGAGGATTATATTTGAATGTTCTAAACCCACCAAATCTACATATCTGGTGTGTCCTACTGAGAGGTTTTGGTTAACTCCCTACCCTACGTTATTCCTCAAAGTCTTCAGAGGCACTCATATTTCCTAATTGACCAGACATTTGAATTTCACCAGAATTCAGTCTATCTTCATTATAACAAAGACAACAAGTGAATTCACCCTGCCTGAATGATTTGTTGTTATGTTAAAGAAGAATTTATACCTCCACTAGGAGGACAGGCTAAGAAAGCTGGGGCTGTCCAACATGGAGAAGGCTCCAGAGAGGCCTGATAATAGCCTTTCAAGTATCTAAAGAGAGGTTATAGGAAAGAAGGGGACAGACTCTTCAGCAGGGTCTGTTGTAATAGGATAAGAGGAAATGGTTTCAAACTACAAGAAGGGATCCTTCAAATGCAGCACCTAAGGTATCTTTGGTCTACACTACTTCCATGTTTCCTTTTTGATTAGCAACTGCAACAGGAGAATGAAGTGCATCCTGGGTTGTATTTTCTGTACAGGACCTACTGGCCATCACTCAGTACCACTCAGACTTAGCAGAGGAGTAGTGTAGTAAATTGCAGTAATTTATGAGGCAGGATTAAGAACCCTGTACATCACTGTACCACCAGGACATTCTGCAGGCATTTGATAATCAGCAGAGCAGCTCTCTTGAGTCTTAGGAAAGTAACTGAGATGTGGGAATCACAATCTGTTCAGAATCGCTTGTCCAGACTAACTCAATCTATTGCTGAACACAATTTGACTGTAGTGGATGCTGTGTTTCTGTGACCGACACCTAATTCTTGGTATGCCAAGGCACAGAAAAGGTGGTAGAGCTAAAAGCAGTACTGTTTTTATGTCTTCATCTTGCTAATGATAACAATGACTGTTACCTGACTTTAAATTCCATAATCTCTATTTGAGACGCTCCTTAAAAAATAATTACGCTGTATTAAAGCTACAGATGTAGGTATTTATATATATTTTTCAGAGTACACATGACAATCTCCTAGGTTGTGACACAGGGCTATGAAGCTGGTTATATGGATTTAGGGGAACTCACAAAACGAGCCTTAGATTCATACATTTCTGATGCAGCGTGCATTGTTACAGTGCTCTCTAGCAGAATGTGCTGTCTCACACCATGGAGCATGGAAGAAAACTGAGTTATCTGTGAAGTGAACTGACACTCTAGTCAGTGGATGGTTTGACAGCTATTGGAAAGCTGAAGGGGGAGAAGATCAGAAGAAAGAAAATTAAATTTCCAAACAAGTCTTTTGCATGTAGAAGAAACAGTCACTGATGGACTGTAATACTGTTCTAAATTTCCATTACTGTAAAGGAGGCAAAAGTAAATTGTGCACATAGTGAAAACAGAAATTTACACATAATATATCAGCAAACACCTGTATATTTATCAGTGTAAGTTCTGCCTTTACTAAGTATTTGTTTAATTTAGTCTTAGAAATCTGGTGCCTTCAAGGAAACTCAAAAATTGACCCCATCTATGCACTAATTACGGTGTCCATTTTTCAGCCTATTGGGCAGTAGTGATTAGCAACTACAATCAGAACTGGGAAAATAAACTCAAAGCCATTATATACTGTATGACACTGCAAGGAGAGACATTCAAACTTCTCTAAGGAGGTACCAATAGCACTTGAAATTACATCTATGTTTAAAGCGCAAACAAGCAAGGAAGTGAAAACAAAGAGACTGTCCACAATTTGGAATTTTAAAATATTCGTATCGCTGCTAAATAATTTACAAAAATAAGGAAAGACTCCTATTGCTAGTATCATACAGGCAAATTCTGTTTAAACTGTAAGAAGCTTCTTTTCCTATTAATTTTAATGTATGAGTGTGTGTAAAAAGGAAGCTACAGCCAAGTACCTATATTAACTTTAATAAATAATATATTTTGCCATATTCGTCTTCTAAACTAAGTAAATGACAAAAGTAGAATCTCAGAAGGACAGAATTTTCAAGCCAGATTACTTTTCTTATTCTGAAGCCTTTACCCAGAGGATTTTTCTGTTCCAAGGTTATATTATTTGATGCAGCAATGGAGTACATTCTCAAAACATCAGGAAACAGACGGAAAACGTACTGTGTGCAGTTGCAGTATACATCTAAATGTGCCTTCATGTTGGATTGTGGTTCCACTGTACATACAATGGCAGCTTCTGCTTCCAGCATAGTGCTTCAACAGCCTGACTCAAACAGTGTAGGAACTCAGCCCTTCCCTCTCTGCCATTATGATCTATGTACCATATATATACCACAGCTGGAGAAGGCAAAGGGGCAGTGCAGGTTAAAGCTGAATTAGGAGCTTCACTCCTGTTGAAGACATCCCTGCAATGGATAGCTATCAGGTTTTTTTGGGCTGCCAATTACAGCTTTGATTCAAGGAAGATGCTGAACAGGCAAGGCTACAGTGCAAAGTTTGACGTACTTGTTAGAACCAAGTTCATTTGGAAACTTTAAATCACAAAGGCAGCAACAGGGAAAGTTTGTTTCTACAGAGTCCTTGGACTCCTTTCTCAAGAGGTTTTGGGAACTTCATTAAAGTCATCTTTGTCTAACCTTCAGCCAGCGTATTCACATCAGAGACCCAAAGACTGCAAAGGAATTATGTTAGTTTATACCATCTACAGTTCCTAATAACTGAGATGAAGCAAACACATGGTAGAAAAACTGAGCTGTTTTTCTTCTTTCTAGCAACAATTGAACAGAAATATATATAAGTTTCTAATAGATTAATTTCCACTTTCTCAGTAAAACAAGTGGAAATCTTATGTAAAATAACATAGCAAACAATCCCATTTTAGGAGAAAGGATAATTTTAAATATACAAACAAAAGTGGAAGGAAGTATTCTCCCGGAGTGCAACCAGATATATTCAACACCAATTACCAGCTTTCTGCATGATAATCTGATGATGATACATATCAGGCGAAGAAGGATAAGAAAGTAAACCGAAAAGCACCCACAAACCTCTAATTTCAACATAAATGTCACCTGAATGGTCTTTCTGTTGCTTAACATAAGAAAAAAAAAAGTCAGAAGAATAAATCAAATTCATATCTTCTTAACATTAATATGTTGGCCAGTGCTACAGCTCTGATAAATAAGACAAGCTGTGTTGTGGAAG